TCGCAGTTCTGTCTAAAAGAATTTAAAAAGGGAGACCTAGACACGCGTCTGCTCCATTTGCGTAAACAACTGATTATGCTGTAATAAAATACGCTACTAAAATTCAGTAATTAGGTTAATGACTTCGTGACATTTGCTAAATGCGAATAGGGATACTAAAAAGTAATTCTGCCGTTACCTTTTAATCCCTATAACTTCGTCTACATTATCAACGTTAATCTAATAGTTTAATTTATGACTTGAAACTTCAAGAAAATGCAGTGAACAAATCCGTCCCTTCCCGCCGTTGTGGTTCTTCCCTTGGAGAACATTTGTAGCGATAAAAAATATTAACTTAGTCAGCTTCTTAGAAACTGCATTGCTCTCATTCATTTTTATATTTTTATTCGGTTAGAAATACTCGGCAATCTCGATGGGTTAAAATTCAGTTTTCCGCGGAAAGCTGATTAGAAATCCCACTCGAGTCGTAAATTAGAATAAGATTAGTTACGCGATGATCTCTAATTGGCCCTCTCCGTACATTCGAATCAATATCTCCCGGGCAGGGAATGTAAAAATCTTCGAGAAAAGCGGATTCCGCTAACCACGAGCGGTTTTGCAAGCTGTAGATCGTGTTATCAACGTCGCCCGAATGTAATATTGCGCTTGAGAGACACTAAGGAAAGGAGACCGTAATAAAATTGCAGTTTCGCGATGAATCTCGAGTTATATAACGTTTTACTCTTGGCTGTTTTGTTTTATCCTCGCGACCGTCGATGACAAAGGGAAAACGAATCGGGACTTTGATAAGTATCGGATATCCTTAAACAGTTTCATCAAACTTTATCAACATATTCTATTAATCCCACTGATGAAAAAGTGTCGCGGAAACATCGATTCCCAAATACTTTCTATACGAGTAGCAACCGCGTTCCCTTTTCGCGTCATTTTATTCCACAAGATTAGGAATTCTCGAAACTTTCTAAAGTTCTGAAGATTTTTTAAAACGGTACTAATATCGTTCTAATTGAATCGTCGACAGGAGCACTAATTCTATTTTTTTTAATTTTAATTTATTCCTTTAAGGAGCAATAATTTCTAATTTGGACGGTATAAAACAATATTAGGTCACACATAAACAAACTTGGTTTCAAGAATATATCTAATATATAGTTTGAAATAAAAATATTTTGAAAGTTTAAATATTTCAGGCCATTTTCGAGCGCAATCATTACTATATAAGAGCACTGAAAAATAGATCATCGGCAGAAGCATTCCAGCATTCGAATGAATCACCAAGCATGTAGACACTATTTGACACTGCTAGGATACGCTAGCGGAATGTAATTAATCATAGTTGGACACTGAAAAACGATAAGAATGACGTTATTGATTTGCACATGTAGTGTCGGTAGCATAGCGTAGCAACGTGCTGAAAGTTTTTCTAACGTAAAACATTAAAAGCAGAGATGGCCAGCCTTCTGTTAGCGCTGAGTCACTAACAGGTTCAACCAATAACTTCGTCGTGCCAGTTATTTTCCAGAAACGATATCAATCGTCTATATCGTCTTCTGTTTCAAAGTCTGGTTTACTCTTTCGGAAACTAAGGGGCAGGAACGCAAGTTTAACGCCATTTCCTCCCCTCTAAGTAACCTAATTCACAGAGTGTTTTGTAAAACGTGATACTAACAGATCGGGATCGATTCCTCGTGGAAGAATAAATCTACCACAAGTTCAGCTTTTCACTCGAATGATAGATAAACTATAAAATGTCTAGCAATTTATTCGTAGAATTCTTATTCGCTCGTCGTGAAATATTTAATTCTATAATTGAAATTTGTATTTCTATTTAACTAGGAAACAGATACAGAATTGTTCGTCTTTTATTCTATACTCGAAGTTGTTGTTTAGATAAGAATTTTTCCCCATAATACGGAAAGAAACTCAAAGACAATTGTGTTCTAAGAGCGTGTTCCACTCTCCGAATAAGTGATCAATGTGAGTGACATCGATTGAGATGTTCCACCCCGTGCAAACAACACGAGCCACTGGCACTTATGGTAGATAATGGATGACTGACAGACGCTGATCATTCGCTTCCATCATTGAACATAACACGAATAATGGGAAATAAATCATGTTCTTGTCAAACTTCACAAACACGAAAATATTACAAATTTAATACACGCGTTGACTGTCGAACCAAACCTGGTCAAGTTTTGTCTTTAAATATGAATTTTCATAATTGATTTTCTCAGAAACGAAGCCTCACATTTTAAAAATTTTTTAAAAGAGGATCTCCACACATGGGGACCTGTCATATCAGTCAACACGCTACAAAAAGATTTAAAGCAAAAGCTGACAACGCTGTCGACGTAAACGAAATCCACACGCGTTTCAATGTTTACTGTTTCACGTCTCGTTAGTCTTCTTTCGATCTTTCTCCCTCGAGATACTTGTCAAACCTCAGTATTTTAAATATCGACCTCTAACACTATGCTACTAAAAGAACCGACACCTGCAATCGTTTGAAATTCACACAGTTTATTGTTTACTGTTCGTAGAATATATTTCGTGAAAGAACAACCTCACGCAACATGTTATCTTACAATTAGTCATAAATTTATGTAAAATAAGAAACCCCCTTCGTTTCTGAAGCGGAAGAAGGACTCTTGACTCGAGCCAAAGTCGATACGAACGTTGTAATTATTGCTCAGCTTTGTATTTAATTTAATTGTAATTTGCAATTAATAATTTGTATTTACCGGGATCGAAAAGATTGGAGTTCGAGCGCCTATGTAAATTTTTGGAATCTTTTGATTAAATGGTAGGAACTCGTGGCTATTTTAATATGTAAAAATCCGAAAAGCGTTTTTTCGATGCTTTTGGGGTTTGACTGCACCCTTAAGAATGCCTCGAAGTCGTGAAAGCTTTTCTGTGGCCCGTGACAAAGGTTCGAGCCCTCGACAGCTTGACAGAAGGGAATCGGAATGGAAAATGTATCCACGGCGGGCGAATACAAATGGGAGATTAGTTGGTGTTGAAGTGTAGCACAGTTTTCGAAGAATTCCTTTGGGAAGTTCGATCAGATAGGAACGAAGAAATTTGAAGAGCACCCGGTGTCTTGTCAGCGCTTTGCTCTTATTCGTCTTGGCGGAAAAGGGGGAGACGTATTCGAGGCGAGAAACAAGAACGCCACTTAAAACGAAAGTGTACCGTAGCGCTGGCCACTGCCGTGAAAATTTATTTCCCACGTCCGTAATTACAACGCGCGATAAAATATCAGGTCGTTAAACGCGAAACAGCGGACTTAAAATTTTTTAAACTATTTAATAACGATTAAACGAACGGGGAAAATTAATTTGCCCCGTAAATTTCTGATCGCGTATTCGCCGCGCCTTTTCCAACGAAACGTTATACAGGTACGTGCTCGTTAATACAAAAGTCCGCATTTCTGCAAGTAATGAATTCTTTCGGAGCATTTTGAACTTCTGTGCTTCCTTTGTTAAAACACGGCCTAGATGTTTGAAGAAGAAGTAATCAGTTGGTGATAGGTCTGGTGAATACAACGGATGTTACAATTCTATGAAGAGCAGACTCCTTTGTATTACACTCATGGATTCGATATGTCCCAGAAGTATTGAAAAATTTAATTAAAGTTCGAAATCTATCGGAATCTGTAATCATGGAATTATATGTTCCTGCCGTTTTGAATTAAATTTTTAAAAATTACTTGGTACGATATTTTTAAATACTCGTTCTCTACCTAGTGATAATTATTATTTCATCTTCTCGTAATATGCTTAAAAATGGTAAAAAAATTTGACTTTGAATTATCAGACCATGACGCATGAATTTAATTAATTCATCGATCTTGACTGTATTTCTGTTCATCGAAGTGTTTTGTACGCCGATAGAGACCATTCTCGAGGATCTATTCAAGCGTTCGGAACAGAACCGTGTAATTAAAACTTTGATTCATATTACTCGCACACGTCAGGAAATACCGTGGGGGCTGAAAATCTCGCGGGAATGCGGCATTGCAATCAGTTTTCGATTCGAGGCCAGATATACGTCGACCAGCCGCGTTAAAAAGACGTATACGAAGATGATCCGATTAACTGAGAAGAACTATGCCAATAGACAATGTTTCGGGGGACTTGTGGTACAGGAAACTGACTTTCTTTAATAACAATATACATAGCATAGAGTCTGAAACTTTCTAAGTTCCGCTCTTAATATCCAAGCAATATTTGTGAGGCATCCACAGTTTTTTTTAACTCTTCTAGGCTACAAAAAACATCTAACGCGTCCGTTCATTAAATAATTGAAACCAACTTAAGGCAGACGAAATATTTATTATCGAAAGGATAAAAATGTCGTGGAGTGTTTAATAACAGTTTCCAATCTCGAAATGAATGATCTTCTAAAAAATGATAAGTAAAAGGAACGTATCGTTTCTAAATTTTTAAATCGTGTGTATGATTTAATTTAATGTAAAAATCTGGTGGTAAAACATGGCCAAAGTGAATCGTACGCGGGATCCAAATCGATTATAAATTATAATTTGAAAGGCTAGACGCGGCCATTTAATCGATACCGCGCTGTTCCATAGTATTTAATTAATGTATCGCCGCTCCTTCTAAATTATTAAGCCGTAGTCGTTAATAACCACCTGGGTGCAGTTGTGACGCTGAACGCGTACGTTAAAGGAAAGGCGTCGAGATAATTTTGCTAAATGAAACAACGCAATTACGGTATTAGTATAATGTTTTAATTACCGTTCATACCCCCGCGATCCAGCTTGACCGTACGCAAATCCGGTGGGAACACTCGTTCGGTTTTCGGAAATTAACGGGAGCACCTGTTGATCTGGACATTTTGGAAATCGTCGACGCGGTCCGTAGCGGTCACAGAAAGTGCAGGACGGCTGTTCGCTTTGTTTTCTAATCGTTTAGCGCACTTTGCATTTTCTTAAAATTGTCGCTGGGTTTGTTGAGCTGCCTTCGTCATGTTCACAGGGAAACGTCTGGCAGCAGCTTCTCTCTTTCCACTTCATCCTGGAGCTAGTCAACACGATACCATTCACGGTTACGGTGAGTCACTTTTTCGCAATGATTTTATCGTCATAGCCTTAGTAACGTCTGAATGTTAAAATTATTACACTGCGTCTCTTCAGACTTGATATTAATTTCCTGTGTGTTGCATCAAAGGATTGTTCAGCATGAAAAGTAACTCTTTCCTGGAATTAATTTTCATTTATGTTATTACGTGTCCTAAAAGTATCATCAAGGCACACGCGATGCAATATAAAATAACAAATAACGTATTGCAAGGTAGAAATATTTTTCTTTTAGTAGCTCAACTTGTAAAACTTTCGCCTACCTTCCTCTACAATATTTATTTATTTATATGTGTAATTTACAATTCTTAACTATTACTATTTAGCTGTAAATGTTAACCTCGTTTAAGAAACTCCTTTGCATTATGACTTGTATTTTCTTTCGTTATAACGAATAACGAGGAATGTCAGAAACAGTAATCGAAATAATATTGTCAGTGATATAAGTGCACGTCTCGTAGCAGTCAAAGTATTAAATAAAATAGGTAAGTACGTTGAATCTTCGGTGATACTATATTCAATAAAAAGGAACTACGTTTGAGGCTTATATAAGACCGCGAAATTGTACATAGCTGCCCGGAAAATCCGTTGAACCAAATATGTACTACATTAGACTCCTGGGAGGCGAGTACCGATATTCCCAGTTCAATAAGGCTCGAAGCTGACAAACCTGAACCCGTATAAAACGATGAAGCCAACCTCGGATACGTGTGATTCGAAACTGCCATGGAACTCTTCGTTTGTTCAAGAATTGTTAATTTCTCTGTCCATTTATCCGCATGGAACAAGTGTTTTCTTCGTTCAGAAATTTTTGGAACGCGTCAAAGATGATCTAACTTGGAAATTCAATTTTCGGGGACCACCTTCGAAGCAGTGAGATTCGCGAGAACGATTATATCCAAAATTTAGATTTGTCGCACGGATCGTCGACCAATTTGTCCGTTGTATTTTACAACCGAGGAGACAGAGCTTTACACGGAGCATTAAAATGATTTATTAAGGAGCGATTTGAGAACAAGCGACGCGGAAAACGTTTCCCAGACGCCGAAAGCCATTTACCGGCGATAAAACGTATTATATCAATCACTGGATTCGTTCTGAATTCCATTCCACGGGGCCACCGATAGGAATCTGGACGTTTTACGTGCCATAGGCACGCAACATCGAAAAGTCCTAATAGAACTTTATTTCATTGAGTCGCGATCTATAGTGTACAGTTTACCGGACTTTGTTCCGTTAACAAGCACCATGGCAAACGAACCAGGGAATTTACTTGTTGCTTTGCGTTTCCACGGCTAAATAGTATGCACCGTGGGTCTACAGAGTTGGCCAAACAATGTGCCCCAAGCTGTTCTCTGTAAAATCACCGTTCTAAAGTCCAGGAGCACTATTTTAAACATTTATAGAAATAATTCTCGACCTAAAACAAATATTTTCCGGCGCCTCTTCCAGTGTTTCCCTTTAAAAAAATTATTTTTCCTTAAACAAAGTTATGTTTCTGCAAAATCACTGTTTGGAAGTCCAGGAGTACTTACAATTTTCGACCTAAAATAAATATTTTTTTTTAAAATTATTTTAAGCAAAAATATGTTTCTGCAACATCGCTGTTTAAAAGTCCAGGAGCGTTATTCTAAATATTCAAAAAAAATGATTCTCGACCTAGAATATAATTTAAATATTTTCTGACGTCTCAGGAAAATTGTTTTCCTCGTAAAATAATTAACTCTGTCTCGTTTAAATGAAAAGATTTAAGTCAACATCAGCAGTGGTTTCGTTATGAACGTAACGTTTTATTTGGTCCGCCCTGTATAGTTACGGAATTCTGATTCCCCCCCCGGGGCATGCTAAATTACAGTAATGAAGTTTCGTTTCCCGATTGGAAACGAACGACTTGTTGCGTTGGTCGGCAATTTAGCGTTCGCGTGCTTCGAATATCTTTACGATTCTTCGCCGGTGGACTTAAATATTGATATTCCTCGCGGAGGGAAACTGTGTTAGGCGTAGTCGTTCGTATTAATACGTCGGTTCGTGCAGATTTGCTACGACGATTTATGGGAAGCGATAAGAGTCGAGGAATAAACTGTCGTTTATGGCTGCAAGTGGTTGGACTCTGTTCTCCGTCAACTATCGGGAATTTGAAAACCAACGCGTACTTTTAACGAAATGAATAATAACTTCATAGTACGACTTTGAGATTTACAATATAGAAAGACTGGCAATTTAATAACAAGCGTTTATTAAATTTATATTTCGACACGTTGAGTCATCTTTATAATATAAGACAAAATCAGGTCAACGATCAGCAACATTTAAGCGGAAGATTAAATATAATTATACCATGTTTGCAAGGGAAACATAAAGATTGCGCAACATGCAGCAACCATAAAACGCAGGGGGTTAAAAGTAATATGTTATGTGTTTATAAGGAAGCCTGGACTGAGCGTTGGAGATCGTTTCAAAAGATACCGTACGATGGCTAATTTTGTATTATAAATAACGGTGAAGCATATTTTTGTAAGTTACTGCTTCTTTTATATTAAATATATTAAATCGTATTTTCATTACTGCGATAAGAAAGTACGCATAAACCGTACGAGTAAAAATAGCTGTATTTCGCAAAACTTTCATAATTAAAAGAAGTCTTTTCTATTTTCATGCAAGTTTATTCGATAGTTTTTTCAAAGTTAGAATTCGTTCGTGCATGCTATTTCGTATCGAACGGGGAAAGTTTGTACGTGTTTCAAGTTTTGTAGAATGAGCTTTTATTTTGTTAAATGAAACTCTGCGGTCCGAATTGTTCCGCATTCTTGATTAGAATCTGAAAGACGCGATGGCGTTTCCACGACACAAATTGTACGCGATCTCGACGATGCATCGATCTTTATCTATCCTATTGAGATTAACCTCGATCTAAACGCGAATAGGGTGTAACGTGATCAGAAAGTGGCGGTTTGATTTCATTGGCCTAGTCTCATTAGCTCTGTGTCTCGTCTACAGCTAAATCCCTAAGTCCCAAGTCATCGTGTCTCGCGACCGTCTGTAAAAGATTTATTATAAAGTATAGAACCTCTTATTTATTGCTATTCACGTAGAGGAAACAAGATCGATAACATGGTATACAGTATTTCCGTTTAAAGTAATGGCTTTGGAATGTGATACTACGTTTTCAGTTTCGTCCAACCTTAAACAAACAATATACGATAAATGTGACATTTTATTTTCAGTTACTTTATCCGCCAATGCGAAATCTATTCATTCCGGTGTTCCTGAACTGCTGGTTGGCAAAGCATTCCTTGGAAAATATGTTCGTGAGTAGTTTTATTTCCATCCTTCGCGTCGAAGTTGATATTAGCCATGTTCTAATCCTCGATGCCCGTGTTTCAGAACGATCTACACAGAGCTATGCAAAAATCTCAATCAGCTTTAAGTCAACAACTGATGATCCTTAGTGCAACATTACTGTGCCTTGTCTTTACTAGGTGAGTAACAATACAAAGACGCAATTAAAATCTACTAGCTCTCAATTCTAGTTTAAATGTAATCTACTTAATAGCTGTAATATGTTAAAATATATATAAAATAATTAGTTCAGTCGGTCTAATGAAAATTACAAATGCAATTCCAACCAAATTAATTCACACGCGGTCGCTGTTAGCGCGCAGAGTTATTATTTAATTTTTGTACATTCAATACAAAAAAATCATGTTTCTCTCGTTAGGTATATTTTGTGTACAAAGAAATTGATATTTATTGAAATATTAGATTTCAAATGCGTTCACGCTGGCGTTTATTTAAGTTGTAATACTAGAATGGCGTTCCGTGGCTGGAATTACTATGATTATACCTACTCGACCTCTGTGCAACACTGAATAAACATTAATCGCGGTTTAAATATCTGAATAGCACGATTGTTGTGTGAAATTTCAGCCGTTCGCCTTTTAGATTACCTCAACAATAAGTTCAACCGGTTGAAACTATTGGAATTTATGAAATATTACAGTAGGTATATTGCACATGATCGTTCCAGTAATTCAGTCAAGCTATAGAATCGTTCTATCAGTAAAAATAGAACAAAATCATATAGGACAGTATTGTATAATTTAATGACCTCTATTATTCTATGATACGACATTTCTTCCAAGTGCATCGGTGCATTAGGAAAACGCAATTGCTCTTTCTTTTAATGGAACAATCTGATTTCTTTTGGATATATCGATTCCTTGATTTCTTGATTCGAACGATAGAATTAACATTATAGATAAATTGTTTTACAACGAAAAGTGTAATTGCACTTTCCTAACGCACCGGTGAACTTGGGAAGACATTACGTTTGAAAATCCGTAATATTCTTAATCATTTGGAATCGAAGCTATTAACGAAGAAGTTTATAGCTGGGAATCAGAGCAGTCGAATAAATTACATTTCTTCTACTTCTACTTCCCTACTTTATTAAAGAAGACAGTACCTTTGAAAGACGAAATGAATGCGATAGTAAATTTCAACTTTTCCAATTTTATGTAAAATTCTTTCCCTTATCGAGTAGTCCGTTGGTATTTCGTTCAAATCCAAGTATTAGGTTCCTAAACTACTGGCTACTGAATTTTTAGTAACCCGTCGTCATCAACTTTCTTCTTAGTTTTACATGCACGAAACCTTTGCGTGCCAAACTACGCTCAATTCTGTTTTTATATAGTACTTACACGTGAAAGAATCATGAGTAAAGAAAGACCTCTACAGAATATAAGAGAGAATTTTCCATGAATTCCATGAATCATGTAAAACAAAAAATTAATCAGTTATAAAGGGAAAGGTTACGAAATGTGCAAGTATTGCGAGTAGTCCTGAATTAATTCGCGTGATCGATTTGTCATACTCAGCCTTGCCAACGAAACGTACAACTGGCGATGAAATGTCAGATCGAAGCATACGAAATATCGTTGGCAAACACTTCGATGTTTACCCGCATAATTTTTATTTATCAATGCATCTCAATGCATGTAAAAAATGCTGCATTAAATAAGAGTTTACAACAGCCAGACAAGAATCGTTTTCTAAAGAAATTGATAGAGAACTTGGAATACTTGATCATTTGGAACTTCGCAAAGACTCTTAGCCAACGAAACATAATCTCTCTATATAAGACACGTTAGTGATTTCACAACATTAAAAGATTTATTATAGTTTAATAACCATCATGGTTTCAAAGTGCTGAAAGTGTACAATTGATGCTTTTAAACATAATATACGGGACAGAAATAAATATCTACCAACTCTCTGTGCAAATAGTGGTTCCGTGGATCCCAGGATAAGAACCATTCCATGTAATCGCGATACGTGACGTTTGTTACAACACCTCTCCATTTAATAATTTATATATTTTCCAGCCGCGTAGCAACGCCAGGGATTACGAATTAAAATTCTGTCGACGTGTCGGTCAACTTTTCCAGAGCCCTTATTTTCCCCCGTTATTCGAGTTTACACAAAGCGCGCATTGCGTTGCTTGCATACAAGTCGTATTACATTATTCGAATAACGAGGAAAGTTTACCTGAGCAGACGTTTCCATTTACGAATCCGGCCAGCTGCCGGATCCCGCTTAGCCGGTGAAAACTTAATAAAACGGTCCTTCTTCAGCGCCACAGCGCCGCACGCGTGGCCTATTATCCAAATTAAATTTCCGCTATTCGTATCAAGTGTTCTCTGGTCCATTGTTAACTGCTCCTCGTCCTCGTTGGACCACAGACGAGGTATACGAGTAGACCTTACACCTTATGGACTTTCGTAGTCCAATCTGACTGCCATACCGTTCTGAAGACTCGGGGGTAGAACGTCAAACAAATTTTAAAGGTGCAGTAATTTTTCAGCGAAATTAAAATATTTCAAATACTTCCAAAAAAATTATTTTTAGTTGGAGGGATCAATTACAATCATTTTTGGTGAATAGATATACCCCCGAAATCTTGGCCATTTTCGAGAAAAAAATTCATTACCGAAAATTTCATGTCTGACCATACATTGATACGTTTCCCTGAAATTTCATGCGTATGTTTAAAACATCATAACTTCTGAACAGATTGGACGAATTCAATGTTTGAAAATGCAAACGACGCGTATTTTGATGAAGAATATGTAGAAATTTTAATAATGTTGGAAAAGTTGTTCCTTGACCCCGTAAAGTGAGAAAAACTCCATAAAAATGATCCAATTTTCAAACAGCCATAACTCCTATAATAGTGAATATATTTCGATGAAACTTTTTTCTGAAGTAGAGCTCGTGGGCACCTACAGAAAAGTATTAGACAACTTTTCTGTAGGGCGTCAAACAAAATTACTAAAAATCGACAGGGGGTAGGTGCCTTTTTTCGGCGAAAAAGAAATTTTCAAATTGTTCTAAAAAAATTATGGTTAGTTCCGGGGGTCAATTACAATCATTTTTGGTGAATAGACATACTCCCGAAATCCTACCCACTTTCTAGAAAAAAATTGAAGAAGGTGTGAAATTTTTCGACAAAATTAAAATATTTCAAATCGTTCAAAAAAAATTATTTTTGGTTGCAGGAGTCAATTATAATCATTTTTAGTCGATAGACATACCACCGAAATCTTACCGACTTTCTAGAAAAAAATTCGAAAACGTGTGAAACTTTTTCGCGAAAAAAAAAAATTCCAAATCGTTTTGGAAAAATTATTCTCGGTTGCGGGGTTCAATTAGAATCATTTTTGGTGAATAGATATACCCCCGATATTCTATTAGTGGATCTATCGATCAGGGTCAAAGAACTAGTAAACGCTGCTTCGCATGAAAATGCTTGAGGAATCAATCCGTTTGTAGAACCCGGAATGTAAACTAGTCTCGTACCATTGCTAAAGGCTTTCGCTAGTGTCATGTGTTTCAGCTACAATTATGATTTAATGATAACGGCGAAGTCAATTGTGAACAGAGACGGAACGTTCGCCTGCATCGTTTCCCGCTCTGCTTCCTCTTGGATAATAGTTTAATCAGATTGATGTTATCGTCGAGCAGCGTGGCCTAGAAACTATGACATTCGCGAGTAGATAAAGTTGTACGTCTATATTTCAACTTTGCTTCGTTTAAAATCGAAATGTTCGGTTTACGATCCGGAAAATGCGAATTATACGCGACGCGTATCTCCTCTCGTTTTGTCGTTTTCACGAACCGCGTTTACAGCATGCATAAATGAAGGAATAATCAAAATTTCCTCCGTCTTGACCTTGGTGATTCTTTTAACATATCGGTCGACCCAAATAAGCGAAGTCGTCTTTGAAACTGAGACGAAGGCAAACAATCGAACAGTGAACACGGTCGAACGACTGGAAATGCTAAAAATGGACTTGGAAAGCACCAATTGGATAAATTATGTGTTTACTGCTTTATTGTTTGAACGTTTCTATACGTGGAACGAAGTTTGCATCTATGTCACTGGTGGAGCCTAGTCGCGGAACCGCGTACAAACGATATTTGCTCGTCTTCAAAGTGCAATGAGCGTCACTTTTCATGCGCTCCAAGTTTCAAGGTGCTGAGCACTGTACAATGCTCGATACAATGTACATTCATTGATACGAGGAATGACCAGCTCGACTCTATTATCCGCGACGATGAATTGTCAATTAAATAGGTGTAAATTCAAGGTGGTCGTTGAAAGATTTGTGAAACGACTATTGTGCTACTATCGTAATCGAATGAAAGTACAAGGAAAATTACAAATACAATTAATTATGTGAAAAGTGAAAAATTAACTGCAATTTCTACAAACGTCAGATGTTCCTTAATTATCTTCATTGTTTCTGGTATTTTTAAATTTGACGTCCAACAAAAATAGCTCGAGTAACCTTCAGATAATAGAAATTAATTCTTCGTCTATAACATGACGTACGACGAATGACATACGTAAGGCGAATGACGTACAAACTTCGAAAGATCACATTTAAGACTCTTCGTTGTCGACCACGTTATTTCGATCTTTTGCCAACTGAATTATTATTTATTCAAGCAGCTCGATTAGTTCTGGTAGCAAATCAAATTTTCGGAAAAGGCGGCTATTAAAAACATGGTCTTGGCATTCATGAATAGTGGAACACGAATTTTTTGTGAGAAAGAGATTGGAAAACCTATGGCTAGATAGAAGAAGTGTATCAAAGTCAATAGCGATTACTGTGATTGATACAAATTACTACGAAACTATAGTTTCCGACGCAAAAATGGCTGACAAATATATCTTTATTAGTCCGCTGGTTTTCATTTATTTTATTGTTCATTCGGCTATCCTCGATCAGACATTTGACGGAGATCGTAAAAATATTATTCAGACAACGTTGTCCAACACGCATGTTTTACGAGTTTCAATTTGTCTATAGCACGATAGATACAACAAAAATAATAGTTATACATCTTAAATACGCATTCCTTTTTTTATCTTCGTTCTACTTAGTGTACATTTTGGGGCAATTATTTACTAAAT